GGGAGGCAGAGTTGGGGTGCAGGTGCTGCTGCCCGGGGCGGGCACACGGGGTAGGGAGGCAGAGTTGGGGTGCAGGTGCTGCTGCCCGGGGCGGGCACATGGGGTAGGGAGGCAGAGTTGGGGTGCAGGTGATGGGGTGGCGGTGACCCAAGGATGGTACCTGGGGGATTGAGGAGCAAGGCAGGTGCTGGGGGAAGATGAAGGGTTCTGTGAATAAGCATGGCTGGAGGCCTGCTGTAGGGCAGTTTGCCCAGAAGCATACTTGTCAATAAGTATTTGTTGAACAGGTGACTCTAAAAGGAAGTGGAGGAAATGAGTGAACAAGACAAAGGAGGTGGAGATAGTATTTTGAGAAATCAGAAGAGATGAAAATAGAGAAATGAGTAGCATTTTTGCAAAAACAGGTTAAGTTGCTTTCAAAGGGAGCAGGTGTATTGGGCTTAATAGCTCCTGGGTTAAGGGCCTTTCAAATAATAGCAGAGATGACCTGTTGCCTAGCATCCTGGCATCTCTGCTATTATTTGAAGATGCTGGGGAATGGGTGGACAGGAAGTGGGGCGCAGGGCTTGAGGATGAGAGAGGGGTCTGGAAGAAGAAAGGGAGGTCAAGGGTTAGGTACTGGGGACTGAGAAAATAATGTTCAAGTATTAAGACCTCCAAGGATGATTTGGGGAGGAAGACGGAGAAACAGCGAGGATTATCTTTTCCTTTGAAGATTTGCTGGGACCTTCCCTAGGTTAGGAACTGTGTCTTCTCTGTATCCTAGCAGTTATGGAGAACATTCGATTCCCCAGGGACTCCTTGAGGTCAAAGCCCTGTTGTGTTCTGTCCTCTCCCAGCACTCAGCTCCTCTGCTGCCCTGTCTGTGACTGATTCAACTGGGGCCCCGGGAGGGAGTGGGAAAGGTCAGCCGCAGGGGACTAGATAGGTATGCCCGTGCCTCTCCACCTTCCAGGAGAACCGGAGCCTTACCATCAAGCTTCGGAAACGGAAGCCAGAGAAAAAGGTAGAATGGACGAGTGACACTGTGGACAACGAACACATGGGCCGCCGCTCATCAAAATGTGAGTGATTGTTGGCCGCCAGCAGCTGCCTGCAGCCCTGTCACTGGCTTCAGGGAGACCAGGTTCAAGTAGAGGGAGCAAGGTGGGGATATGCCGAGGCCTGAAGGCGACAGGTATCAGAACGGGGAGATTCCTGGCGGAAAGGACAGGGGTTTGGGTGCCTGAGCCCCAGGGGGTGGGCGTGGGGAAGCTGGATCCTGGAAGGGAGAAGGAGCCCATGGTGGAGGCAGGAGTTGTCACTGAGATCCGGTGGGAGTAGAACTGTCTGTACACCCTAACTTTTGCTCCTTTTTTACCGGGCTCCTCCCTCCAAATCCAGGCTGCTGTATTTACGAGAAACCTCGGGCCTTTGGCGAGAGCTCCACGGAGAGTGATGAGGAGGAAGAGGAGGGCTGTGGTCATACACACTGTGTACGGGGCCACCGCAAAGGACGGCGTCGTGCAACCCCAGGACCGAGCCCCACCACCCCTCCCCAGCCTCCTGACCCCTCCCAGCCCCCTCCAGGGCCAATGCAGCACTAAATTCCTCTCTCCCCCACCATTCCTGTGTCTGTCTGGCCCTGAATGTATTCATGTGGCTCCCTGGGGACTAAACCCCTGGTTTGATCCCCCCTCCGGTCCCCTCCTCCCCTCCCCTCTGCCTGATGGAAGGAAGAGGGAGACGAGGGTAGACAGAGGTCCTGGAATTCTGACTTGCTGCTATTCCAGAACCCAGACTTCTGGGTTCCCCCAGCCCTCATTTCTCCTTCCAGTACTCATCCTCTGTTCTGCAGGGATCCAGGCGTCTTGGTCCCAGTCTTTCCCCCTTGTTCTCACTGCCAAACCGCCTGTCCTGGGACCCAGTTCTCTTGGCCCCTTGCATTCTCTCCTTGAGGCCCAAACACTTAAATTGGGTTTTCAGCAGCCCCAGCTTTCACTGCCAGGGTCCCAGTCGGATTTGGGGCAGTCTTGCCCCAGCTATGCTTGTTAATCCTGGCTTCGAGCTCTTCCAGTAATGTATTTATATAATCTGAACTCCTAGTCCTTGCCTGTGGGATGTGAGGCCTTGTGGGAGACCTCAGGGCTCCCAGGGGGCTCCCAGCCCTTCCCCTCTCCTGCCCTCCCCCCTCCTGCCCTCCAGAGGAGTTGGGAGAGAGGTCTTTGCTTTCTCACCGTTAATGGGAAATAGAAAAGGAAATAGGCATGGCCTCTCCTCACCCTTCTCATAAAAAAAAAAAAAAAAAAAAAGATACAGGATTTCCAACAAAGCCAGCTTGAAGGCTGGTCACTTAGAGCCAACTATCTCCTCCGTCTTCTGGCTTCAGAGACAGATCCAGCATAGTCCTGAGGCCCTGGGTCCCTGGGGGAGGAAGGAAAAGACAGGGAGCAAAGAGATGGGGGTGTGTCCCCTATACTGCACTCTTACCCATTCCTTCCTAGGCTTTGATGTGTCTGCCAGCCCAGATGTCCCCTCTCAGCCCTCCCCACTCCTTACTGGGATCGTGACATCATTTTCTAGGCCTCTTGCCATATGCACAGTTGCAGAGAGGAGTCAAATCCATACCACCACTGAGATCTCAATTTATTGCCACAGATGCACAAAATAAATAACCCAGCATCACAAAACGTGTTAAATATGGGCCCATTTATACATACGGAGAAAGATGTGAAGCTATATACAAGGATGAGCTTGGGGTGTCTGTGCCATTCCCAGGTCGAGGAGAGAGCACCACTGGTTCCTTACAAGGGGGAGTCTTCAGGAGGTTCCAAAGGGGGAAAGGCCATGAGCACGGAGTAGAGCTGCCTGCCCCTTTCCCCAAAAGGACAGTAAGCCGCCTAGAGGGCCCTGGGACCCAGGCAGTCTTGAAGAGGAAGCTCCGATTGGACAGGGCAGGGAAGCCCGAGCCTCAGAGCTGTGGAGATGGACTGGGCCCTTCCCGGAGACCGGGAGAGGAGGCAGGAGCGGGGAGGGAGGCCGTGGGTTAGGAGCCTGGTGGAGCGTTCCGGTCTGGACTAGCGGAAGGTGGGAGGGGAGAGATGAGGCGGGAAGTAACCGAACGTGGAGCCGCGTCCGGGAGGGAGGGGCAGGCGTGGACGCGGACACTGAGGCCAAGGGGAAGGGTGCGCACCCCTGCGTGAGTGCCCCGCTCCCGGCGGGTGTGGGTGGGACTCAGCCTTCGGCCGGCACGATACGAAGCGGGGCGCGGGCGTCGCGCGTGCAGAGCAGCGGGAAGACGCGCTCCCCCAGGGGCCCCGGCGCCTGGAAGGCGAAGAGCAGGTCCAGCGAGCGGCCGTCGTAGAAGGCCACGCGGCCCCGTTCCCAGTCCAAGTCCACGCGGATGCGGCGCGGCGGGGGCCCGGCGCCGCCCAGCGGGGTGGGCTCAGGAGCCGTGAGGGCCCACAGGCGGCCACCGCGGCCCTCCACGGCCCACACGGCCCCCGCGGGGCACAGCCCCACGCGGCCCTTGCGGCGCACCGACTCCCCGGCCGCACCC